TTTCTTTAGTCGTTGAAACATGTTTAGCGGTGTTATCTACCAGTACCTGGTGTGTAGATACAGGGGGCACTGATCATGTCTGCAATTCATTGCAGGGGTTCCAGGAAACCAAGCGAATTAGGGAAGGAGAAGTTACCATCTACTTGGGCGATGCTAGTAGAGCGTCAACAGTTGCAGTGGGAGACGTCTATTTAGATTTTGGCTTAGATAGGTTTCTAGTTTTGAAAGATTTTCTTTATGTTCCCAGTTTTAAAAAGAATTTGAATTCAGTTTCTAAGTTGTTTATGAACGGTATTTCCCCTACGTTTGATAATAAAGTTGTTATTCGTTTTGGCAAAAAGTTCATATGTTCTGGTTCATTAGTTGACAATCTATACATTCTAGAATCTAAGTCATCTCCACTGCAACAGAAACATTTACTTAATTCATCATCTAATCTGAATAAGAGAAAGGAACCTTCTAAAATGAACGAAACATATCTTTGGAATCTAAGACTTGGTCATATTAACCTTAGGAGGATTCAAAGGTTGGTAGCAGACGGGCCCTTGGGGTCGTTAGAAGTCGAGGCTTTTCCAACTTGTGAGTCTTGCCTGGAAGGTAAAATGACTAAGAGGGTTTTTAATTGAAAGGGGCATAGAGCCGAAGATGTGTTAGGGCTAGTTCATTCCGATCTATGTGGTCCTATGAGTATTCAAGCGAGAGGTGGTTTCGAGTACTTCGTTAGCTTTATCGATGATTACTCGAGATATGGGTACATTTTCCTTCTGCACCGCAAGTCTGAATGCTTTGAGAAGTTCTTGGAATATAAGGCAGATGTGGAGAAGCAGTTAGGAAAAAAGTATCAAGTCATTACGATCAGATCGTGGTGGCGAATATCTCTCGAATGAATTTAGGAGCTACTTGACGGATAATGGGATTACGTCCCAGCTAACTATGCCTGGCACGCCTCAGCAGAATGGCGTAGCAGAACGGAGGAATAGGACTCTTATGGAATGGTTAGGGCAATGATGAGTTATAGTAGTTTACCATATTCTTTTTGGGGATATGCCCTAGAAACAGCGGTATACATTCTAAATAGAGTACCTTCTAAATCAGTACCGTCTACACCATTGGAGTTATGGTCTGGGCATAAGCCTAGTCTAAGGCATCTCAGGATTTGGGGTAGTCCAGCACATGTGCTGAGAACAGATATTGATAAGTTGGAACCGAGATCAGAAGTAAGGCTGTTTGTGGGATATCCTAAGGAAACGAAAGGTGGTCTATTTTATAGTCCCGAGGACCAGAAAGTAATCGTTAGCACGAACGCTAGGTTCTTGGAAGAAGACTATGTCTTAGATCATAAGCCCAGTAGTAGACATGTTCTTGAGGAGTTAAAGGGAGTGAGTACTTCAATACCGAGTGCGCTAGATGTTACACCACAAAGTACTGCAACACGTATCGCTGATGATGCACCTGAGCAGGTAGTACCTCGTCGTAGCTAGAGGGTTGTCCGGCAACCCGAACGGTTCATGGGTCTGGGAGAGTCTTCTGAGGCCGTCCCGTACATTCTTGAATCCGACCCATGGACATACAATGAGGCACTCTAAGATCGGGACGCAGAGTCTTGGCAAAAGGCGATGAAATCTAAAATAGAGTCAATGGACACTAATCAGGTCTGGGATCTTGCAGAGCCACCCAGTGGCGTTCGCGCAATTGGATGCAAGTGGGTCTATAAGAGAAAGAGACGAGCAGATGGGAAGGTTGAGACCTTCAAAGCTAGGCTTGTTGCGAAAGGGTACACTCAGAAAGAAGGGATCAATTATGAGGAAACCTTTTTGCCGGTAGCCATGATCAAATCCATCAGGATTCTCTTGGCTGTAGCCGCTCATATGGATTATGAGATTTGGCAAATGAATGTTAAGACTGCTTTCTTTAACGGAAATTTGGACGAGGACATCTATATGCAGCAACCAGAAGGATTCATTGCAAAAGGCCAAGAGCATCTGGCCTGCAAGCTGAAGAGGTCCATTTATGGGCTGAAGCAGGCTTCGAGGTCTTGGAACATCCGTTTTGACGAGGTTGTCCAATCGTATGGATTTACCCAATGTCCGGATGAGCACTGTGTGTACAAGAAAAGTGATGGAAACGTGGTGGTGTTTCTAGTGCTGTACGTCGATGATATTCTTCTCATTGGAAACAGTGTGAAAATGTTGTCAGACATAAAGGTATGGTTATCCAAGCAGTTTGATATGAAGGATTTGGGTGAAGTAGGACAGGTTCTTGGAATCAAGGTCATTCGCGACCGAGAGAAGAGAAAGTTGTGCCTATCCCAATCCACATACATAGATACTGTCCTAAAGCGTTTCAACATGCAGGATTCGAAGAAAGGGGATTTACCCTTTTGGCATGGAATACCTCTATCTAAGAGGATGTCCCCGAAGACGCCTCAAGAGATAGAGGACATGAAGGTAGTTTCTTATGCATCGGCAGTAGAAATCCTCATGTATGCTATGTTGTGCACGCGACCTGATATTTGTTATGTCGTGGGCATGTTGGCAAGATATCAGAGTAATCCAGGACCGGAACATTGGTCTGCGGTAAAGCATATACTCAAGTACCTACGTAGGACTAAGGAGTACATGTTGATTTACCAGGCAGATGAATTGCTTCCGTTGGGTTACACCGATTCTGACTTCCAGGCAGACCGGGACGAACGCAAGTCAACCTTAGGGTTTGTGTTTACTTTAGGAGGAGGAGCCATAGTACGGAGGAGTGTCAAGCAGAAATGCGTGGCCGACTCAACCATGGAGGCTGAGTATGTAGCAGCCTCAGAGCCTTAGAGGTATGCTGTAAAAGCTATGTTTTGCAGATTCTATCAATTCCATTTTGATCTGGCAATCATGTTTCGGTCAAAGTACATATGTTTGCAGTTTATTTATTTATGAAATACATACTCCATGTCTTATATTGAGGTAGTGTGGTTCGAAGAGTTTCGAACAGAAAGATCACCTATCGGTTCCTTATAAGACTAAACTATTCGTTCACAGTCTAGACTGGCAGTGAGACCCCACTTGGAAAAAGACTGTAGTGTGTTCTCGATTCAGTTTGTCTTTGACTGAAGGATTACACTAGCACTTATGTTAAGTGTTGAACAGGACCACGGAAGGATAAGGATATGAGACTCACTGACTGTTGTCGTAACCTAGACCTTCAGTGATTGATGCGTTCTCTTAAAGTTTAAGATAATATAAAATAGGCATATATGTTTATTTCTTATTTATTTGATTTACCAAGTGATTCTTATTTTAATAGGATGACATACGAGGTATTTTGGTAAGTAAGAATAATTATATGATGTGCTATTATAAATTGTTTACGGTCACTATGTTCCAGTGCGCTGGATTGATGACGTCCCCGAAATGAGCTCAGGAAGGAACATTATGTTAAACCCTGCAGGTAGACGATTGTCTAACATAATGGTTAAAGTCTGAGTGGTACTAATTTCGGAAATGAATAAGAAGTTGATTAATTATTTTGTAAGTAATTTAATTAATCAACGGATGTTATATCTTAAACATAGGGAGGTAAATCGATCAATCAGATTAATATTATTTAATCATGGAGGCTCGATTTTATTAATAAAATAGTGGCTAAATGGGGAGAGCAATAATATTACTCTAGTGGGATGTTTTATTATTTAATTCCATTAAATAGGAATTAATTTTATTCCATATTAATTAATTAATTAGGAGAATAAAATTCCTACTAGAATCTTCTCTTGGGATTAGGAGACTTGGGAGTCTTCTAGAAGATGAAGATTAGTAGGAAATATATTTCCTACATTATATTATTAATTGGAGTAAAATTAGGCTTCCTAAATTAGGAATTAATTTTATTACATGGTTATTAATTTAATTAGGAAAGATATTCCTACAAGGATCTTCTCTATTGTTAGGAGACTTAGGAGTCTTCTAGAAATGGAGGATCAGTAGGAGATTTCCTTCCTACATTAAATTAGTATTGGAGTAGAATTAGGATTCCTAGGCCTAATGGAATAAGCCCATATTTAGCACCTCCTTAAGGTCCCTAATGGAGTCTATAAATACACCATGTCCCAACCTCTCCTACAATGTTGTCTTGGCCGATTTTCTCATCTACATACACGTGAGAAATAGCATCGTTCGAGAGTTAGGGAGATTCGATTAAACGCTCCACCAAGTTTAATCGAAGTAGGTGTTTAGGTAATCCGTTAGAAGGCTTTTGGGTACAATTTATTCGAGCCTTTATACATATATATTTCCGGTCAATTTCCCCAGCCAATCGCCGCTGTTCCCCGCTGTCGACCGCCGTCAGAAGCCAGCCAGGCCCAGTCGATCGCTACCGTGAGAAAGGCCCCGTCCCAGCTCCCAACAGCGACGCCCAGGACCACCGCACGAAGGCCAACGTCCGTTCGTGCAACACCACGATCGCCGATCCTCCCCAGCACGCACGCGCATTGCTACCGCTTGTCCGTGTCTGCTTGCTGTCGCCGATCGCGTCGTTGCCAGCGCGCCAGTGCAACGCGCGTAACAGTCCGCCCGCGACCAGGATTCCGTGTCCACCACGCCCGCGTGCGTTCAACCGCCAGTCCCGCACGCCCAGGTCACGCGCACGACTTCTCAGTGCATCGCCAGCGCATGTCTGCAACACGCACGCTGCCAGTGCTCGTCCGCTGCGACCCGCGTACCTGCCAGCGACCCGCGCCCGACGCGCACGACGCCCGCTGCACCCGATGACTGAGAACCGCGTGCCGTTCAACCGTGATCTGTTTGACGTGTTGATTAGAATCGACTAAAGGCCAAACCTATCCGCCCATTAGGTTGTGGTGTTAAGACGAACTTCACCAACAGTACTCTACATCGTCTCAGAGTCGGTAAAAATTTTAAAAGGTAAACGTCCATATCCTAACTATAGATTTCGCTGCGTTAGGATTTATTTCGATAAAGTTCAATACTGTGCATGTTGTTTGACGTTCCTAACAGAACCCAACACATACCACAGAGAACTGTAGGCATTTGAAGGATGAAATTGAAAGGTTGATTTGGGCCGGGCATCTGAAGGAGTTTGTGTATCATGACAGGGCGAAAGGAAAAGGGAGGAGAAGATGCCGAGAGGAATCTGAGGAAAGAAGTGATAGAGATGAGGAGGGTGATGATAGTGATGGACGAGATGGTCAAGAAAAAAGGCCGAAGAGGGATGGAGATAAAGGGTGTCAAGGAGGAGAAGCCCCTTTTAACAGAGGAACGATTTATATGATTTCCGGAGGGCCGACGGATGGCGACTCGAATCATGCCAGGAAGGAGCATGCTCGAGCTGTGAAAAGAAAGAGAGAGGAGGTGAAGATTATGGCTCGAATGCCGGTGATAAGTTTTAAGGCGAAGGATGCTGAGGGAGTGGTCTTGCCACACAACGACGCTTTGTTGATTACCGCGGAGGTGGCGGGCTTTGATGTGCAGAGGGTGTTTATTGATACCGAGAGTTCAGTGGACGTGATGTTTTATGATTGTTTTGTGCAGATTAATAAGGAACTGAACATGGAGCTGAAACCAGTGGCCACGGCGTTCTACGACTTTAATGGAGGAGAGGTTATGCCAATGGGAGAGATCTGCCTGCCCGTGGCGCTGGGATCAGGGGTGATGAGGAAAGTCCGGATGGTGAGGTTTGTGGTCGTTGGGGCTGAGTCGTCTTACAACATTATAATGGGGAGAACAAGCTTGAATGCATTCCAGGCGGTCGTATCCACGTACCACATGACGATCAAATATCCTTTAGGCGAAAACGTTGGAGAGATTGCTGGAGATCAACTTACCTCGAGGAGCTGCTACCAAACTACGGTGAGCAAAAACAAACAACTAGCGAAGAAGCAGGCTAAGCCAAAAGGGGAGGAGGTCAATCGACCAGGTGGGTCGAGGTCGAAAGAAGATAGGAAGAGGTTGGAGAAGGGAAAAGACAAGGTGGATATCCGGCCAGGAGAGGAGGTCGAGGAAGTTCAGATGATTGAGGGATGTGAGGAGAGGAAATTCAGAATTGGGAAGGACCTGGAGGAGCCCATCAGATCGAGGTTGATTTGCCTGGTTAGGGAGTTCGTGTATATCTTCGCGTATACAATGGAGGAGTTGACGGGAATAAGTGCGGAGGTGGTTGAACACCGGCTGAACATCGACCTCAGCGTGAGGCCGGTGAAGCAAAAGAGGAGACATCATGGAGCAAAGATGGATAAAATTATAGAGCAAGAGGTCGAGAAGCTATTGAAAGCAGGGCATATCAAGGAGATTCAGTTCCCAGAATGGTTATCAAATACAGTGATGGTGTCAAAGGCGGAGGGAAAGTGGAGAATGGGCATCGACTTCCGTGATCTGAACAAAGCGTGCCCGAAGAATCTGTACCCGTTACCTAGAATCAACCAGTTGGTCGATTCGACGGCTGGGTGTGAATTGTTGATCTTGATGGATGCCTCCCAGGGATACCACCAAATTCCCTTGGCAAAGGAAGATAGAAAACGGGTGAGTTTTCTGACGAGTTGGGGAACCTATTGTTATGTGGTGATGCCGTTCGCCCAGAAAAACGCGGGCGCCACATATCAAAGGTTGGTCGATAAAATTTTTAAAGAACATCTGGGAAGAAACATGGAGGTATATGTAGACGATATGTTAGTGAAAAGCAAAGAAGATATGGATCATGTGCGAGACTTGAAGGAAACGTTCTTGACTTTGAGGATGTACGGGATGAAATTGAATCCAGCTAAGTGTTCGTTCGGAGTAAAGTCGGGGAAATTCTTGGGTTACCTGGTGACCAAGAGAGGTATTGAGGTAAACCCAGAGAAAGTGTGGGCGGTGATGGAGATGCAGTCGCTGGCAAATGTTAAGGAGGTACAAATCTTGGCTCGTCGAATCGCAGGGCAAAGTCGTTTTATATCGAAGGTGGCGGAAAAAAGTGGCCTGTTGTTTAAAACATTGAATAAGAGTGAGAAATTTCAATGGACGGAGGAGGCGCAGAGAGCATTTGAGGAGTTGCGAGGGGTGTTAGACAACCTTCCCTTATTGGCTAAACCCGTACAGGGCGAGGAGTTGGTACTATACCTTTCTATCGGAGAGAGGGCTGTGAGCTCGGTGTTATTGCGGGAGAAAGGGGCAGCACAATTTCCCATCTACTACGTGAGTAGGGTGATGCAGGGGATGAAGATGAGTTATTCGGAGATCGAGAAGTGTGCTTTGGCTGTGGTCGTAACTGCTCGAAAGTTCAGACCTTATTTCTTGAACCATAAGGTGAAGGTACGAACGAACATGCCGTTGGGAGAAACACTTGGTCGACCATCGGTCTCTGGTCGATTAGTGAAATGGGCGGTCGAGTTGAGTGAATACTCTCTGTCGTATGAGCCGAGGAGGGCCATAAAGGCGCAGGTGTTGGCAGATTTAATCCAGGAAGGCACTAAAGTTGAAGAGGAGTCAGGAGGAATATGGCAGTTGATTGTGGACGGATCTGTGGCACGGAGTGGGGCAGGATTGGGAATTGTCCTTTTCTCTCCTAAGGGCGATTACTTGGAATTTGCGGCCAAAGTAGGGTTCAAGATATCCAATAATGAGGCCAAATATGAAGCAGTGATCAAAGGCTTGAGTTTAGCTAGAGCGGGAGGAGCGCGAAGAGTACAAGTGCATTCTGATTCTCAACTGGTGGTTGGGCAGTTTCAGGAGGGGTTTGAAGTTAAGGAGGACCGGATGCAGAAGTATGTAGATGAGATGAGAAAGTTGAAAGAGGAGTTTCACTCATTCGAGTTGATACAGATCCCTCGGGGAGAAAATGGTCGGGCGAACCTGTTATCGAAAATTGCTCAAAGCTTGGTGGATTGTAAAAGCAGAAGTGTTACCCTATTGCATCTCGAAAAGAGTGTGGTCGAAGTGGAAGTGGCGGAGATTGAGGAAGTGGACGATTGGAGGGCCCCGATCTTAGAGGAGCTGAAAGTGAGCATGATAAAGGCGGTGAGGAGATTTTTTGAGCATGGTGGCATTCTTTACAAGCGGTCATATGCGGGACCGCATTTGCGATGTGTTACTAAGGAGGAGGGTCGATATGTGTTGAGAGAAATGCACGAAGGATGCTGCAGTGACCATAGTAAGTCAGGGGCTTTGGTTGCAAAAATTTTAAGGGCAGGATATTTCTGGCCGACGATGAGGGAGGATGCAAAGTCGATGGTGAAGAAATACTTACAATGCGAAAAGCATGGCCCCCTTATTCATCTACCGGCAGAAGCAATGACAACGATGAGTGCCCCTATACCATTCGCCCAGTGGGGTGTCGACCTGGTGGGGCCGATGCCTCAGGGAACGGGGCAGAGGAAGTTCTTGATAGTGGCGGTGGATTATTTCACAAAGTGGGTGGAGGCCGAACCTTTGGCGAAGATCACAGAGGAGAAAGTATTTAAATTTCTATACAACAACATTTGCTGCAGGTTTGGCGTGCCCAAAGTGTTGATTTCCGACAATGGCACTCAGTTCAATGGCAAATGGATTCGATCGTGGTGTGAAGACATGAAAAAGAGCAACACTTTGCCTCTGTTGCTCATGCGCAAGCGAATGGCCAGGTCGAAGTAACCAACCGAATTATATTGAATAGGCTGAAAACAAAGCTGGAAAAGGCCTCGGGGGCATGGGTCGTTGAGTTAAGCTCGATACTTTGGGCATATCGCACAACCCCGAGGTCGACAACAGGAGAAACTCCCTTCAGTTTAGCCTATGGAATGGAAGCGTTACTGCCGATCGAGGTCGAGTTGTCATCCCAGAGGTTGAACACATATAATACTGAGCAGAACGAGGATCTAATGATGGCGGCCCTAGACACCATCGAGGAGCTGCGTGGGAGAGCAGCGGTCAGGGTGGAGGCAGATAAGCAAAGGATGCGAGCTGCTCATGACAAAAAGGTTAAAATTCGCAAACTCCAAGTAGGCGATCTGGTTTGGAAATGTGTCGATGTGCTCAAGCATGTGGGGAAGCTTGAGCCAAACTAGGAAGGACCATACCTGGTCGAGCGAGTGCACGCAGGAGGAGCGTACTCGTTAAAAGATGCAGAAGGCCGATCACTTTCCAGGTCATGGAACATAGCTAATTTGAAAAATATTATGTGTAGAATTTTTATTTACTTTTTGCAAAGAAATCCTGGAATTACGAACAAAGTTGTAACTTGCAAAGCTTGCATAAAAAAGTTAATGAAATTCAGTTATCCTTTCGTATTACTTCTTGCATTGCACATTTTCTTATGCTTGGAATGTTGGTATGGTTAGATGACGGAAGGAATATGGTGCGGTCTAACTTGAACATCACTTGTTTAGAACATCCCTTGGGGTGGGCAGGTTGGTCGATTACTCACGCCCTCGGGCTTGGTGACCTCCTGTTTAGAACATCCCTCGCGGGTGGGCAAGTGTGAAGACCAAAACCCACCATGACTAAGGTGTTGGTGTTATATACTTAAGCTTTGCTTTAGTGGATATTACACTTGTTTTTTCTTGATGAATGAGAATTATGTTTTGTTAAATAAGTTCCACGTTCTGTTGTTTTGCATGTAGATAAGTGGGTCGTCATCGGGCGTACCGAAGATCACTATATCAGTTACTTGCGAAACAAGAATCATTGGTTCACAACCTAGATGGAATTGAACAACCCATCGGAACGGTTGTAGTGTCAACCGTACGGTTTGTCTTGACCGATTAGTTGCACTAGTACATTTATGTATTGAACAGGATCCCAGAGAGGGATGTTTGTTTTATACTGATCGTCGTAAACAAACTAGGCATCAGTTAATTATTGCGTGCTCTTAACCCGTAAGATATTAAATAGGCATGTGCACATAATTATTGTAGCTTTGATTCTTTGGGTGAGATCCAAGCCGGGTCGACATACTTAATGAATTGGGTAATAACATTATGTGTTTGATGTGCTATTAGGATATTTACGGTCACCATGTGCGTTAGTGTGATGATGTCCCCGAAGTGAGTTCATGAAGGAATATTATGCTAAACCCTGCAGGTGGATTTATTCCGGCATAATATGAATGCTATGAGCGAGCGCTAGCTTCGGCAATATAATATATTTATTAATTCTTGATTATTAGTTATCGAATTAATTGATGGACATTATATCTTAAACATGGGTAGGTAAATCGAATAATTATAATAAGGAGTCTCAAATGTAATTTGGGATAGGTGAGGGGAGTGCAATAATATTATTGTGGTGGACTTTAATATTATTAATATATTAATTGTGGGGTTGCTCCACAGTATTAATATATTAGAAGCCCTTATCATTCTCCTTAGGGTCCCTACTGTAGCTCTATATATACAGCATTAGGCTCATGGAAGAGAAGAACACAATCCCATAACTTGGGAAGTCGTCCGCCCCCTCTCTCTCTCTCTTCCAAGGAGTAGTTTTATTTCTTGTGCTCCACTGATACAAGATCTATATAGCTGTTTGAGAATACAGTAGAAGATCTTAAGGTATATACGGGATTCCAATCAGATCTATCATACATTTAAACCGGAGACCAAAACCAGCAAGGGACCATACCACGACGACCAGGACGACGAGATGAAGAGATCGCCGTCGAGATCGCCGCCAGCCGCCGCCGCACACGCCGCCACGTGCCGCCGGAAGGGAGCAGCTGCCGAGACTTACTCGCGCGCGTGAGAGCGCGTGAGACCTCCGTTTTCCGATCGGTCAACGCTGTTGACTTCGTCGTGACGCCAGCTTTCCGGATTGGTCAAGTTTGTTCGATTCCGAGAAGATTTGATTTGCGGTCATCTGTTCGGGCCAACCAGATCTACATAAATTTTAAGCAGTAAGTTTTCTTCATCAAACCTTTAGATCCGGTGCGCATAGGTTTATGTTGAATGTTTGTCCGTGATTTGTGCATATCGAGATCCTCATATGTCCCAACAATTGGTATCAGAGCTTGAGGTTAATCCGTTATGTACTAGATCCGGATTAAACTGCTTATATTGTCTATGTGTGCTCAAGCGCAGCCATATATATTGGATTATATGCATAACTTGGTTTTACAGGAAGTAGTTAATCCACTACTATGGCCACCCTTTTATGTGCTTGTGCTTAATTGATGGTTGGTTGTATGGTTTTAAATTTGTTTTTAAAGCCTCGGGATTGTCGAGGAATTATAGATGAATGCTTGTATTAATTGCTCGGGGGTTGACCGGATAGTTTAATTAATTAGTAGAAGACATGTACATCCACTCGTTGGATCTAGGAATCGATTTATGTAATTTTGTAAATTATATTTTTTGAATTGTGATCGACCGTTGGAGACCGGGCCTTCACAAAGATCCAAAGAGACTCGACAAAGCAAGAAAGAAACTGGAGCTGGGAGCCAAGGGAGGCCGGCGCGGCCGCGGCTTCTACTGGTGGAGGTTTTGTGGAACTTGCACTACAAGTCAACTGGGATTCTACTGCAGTGGGAGTTCCAGTTGGTTTAGGAAAGAAATCCTAATCCAAGGAGAATAAATATTTAATTGGCCATAATAGTGGATATGTATTTATGACATTAATTATTTATTTGTTTATTTATGCATGGGAATAATTGTTGCCTTGTGTGCATAGAATTATTTAGAATTGCATATATATATATATATATAAATATTAAAAATCCCCATTTAAAATACTAAGTTGAGAAGGATATTTAAAGTTAAGATAATTTTAAATTCCTAAGGCCTCCATTTCTAATTCGTTGGTAAATCAATTAATTGATAGTGTGGGTTTCCTCGAGGATGACATTACTTGAAAAATAATTGAAGGATAATTACCAAAACGAATTTCTAAATTTAGACAGTTAGAGGAAATCGAATGAGAGCGTACGGGTCACCCCGAGGTGAACGTATAATCGATTTGGACGACCTTAGGACCGAGAAATGGGATTCACTTAGAATGCGATTCATTTCATAACCCCCCGAGGGGTCCCTGATTTTTATTGCATGGCCAAACGGGGACCGATTATTAATTTCGTTCGTCATGAAATTGGTTTTGACTAATAAAAATTAATGGGTTCTGGAAAAATTCTTCTTTAAAGAAACAAAGAATTAGTAGAGTTGCCCGAGCATCATACTAAATTCTCATAGTTTAAGGATGTCGGTGAATTTAAGTTAGTATTGTTTTGAGGATGTCAATATTAAC